AAATCCTTATCTTTAAGGGTTATTGTGAAGATTCAATGAGATGATGCATCTAAAGCATTTAGGCCAGAGCTTGACACATGATGAGTGCTCAGTAAATCATAGTCTTTATTACTCAAATATTGTAAGAATTCTAAACATACAAGCAATTAGGAATTCACCTTGAGCATAGTCAATGGCAATGATAAGATATTCAAAACAAGCCCTATTAAAGAAATGGGGCTTTACAGCAAGCATGTCAAATTCGTGGCTGGCCATGAGTTTGCTTGCTTAAGGCAGTGGTTCTCAACCTTTCTAATGTCGCGACCCTTTAATACAATTCCTCATGTTATGGTGACCCCCAACCATAAAATTATCTTCATTGCTACTTCATAACTGTAATTTTGCTACTGTTACAAAATTACTAGTCACCCTAAGTCACTTTACATGTATTTTTTACATATAAAAATTTTTACATATAAAATTTACATGAGAACCGTTTGCAGGTGACCCTGCGAGCGGTTCTCAACAGAACCGCTGCTGTAGAGCCTAAGACCATCGGAAAACACAGATATTTACATTACGATTCATTAACAGTAGCAAAATTAGTTATGAAGTAGCAACAAAAATAATTTTATGGTTGGGGGTCATTACAAGATGAGGAACTGTATTAAAGGGTCGCGGCATTAGAAAGGTTGAGAACTACTGCTTTAGAGGGATGAGGTAATTGTCTAAAGTTAGAATATACTAGAGATTGACCTTAAGCCCTGTCTGAGGCCAAAGGCCCTGCTTCTAATCACAAGATCTAAGCCTCCCCTGTCAACTTTGTCTGAAGGGACAATCTATTTTTCCCTCCGACCTTAGATCACTCAGAGTACTAGTGTAAGAAAATGCCTTGTGCCCCCTTGAAAGTCTGTCACTGAGTCCACTGCTCTAACTGAAGCTGGCTCCCAGGAAGCCAAATTATTTGTCTAAGTTCACAGATTTGTCTGAGCAAGGAAACCTGGAGAAAGAGTGGCAAATATAGTATTCCATAGCCTTGTACTTCTTGAACATAGAGTATAATTAATATTCTATACATTCAATCATTCATAAAAATGGCACTGAGGTGCAGTAATGATCAGGGCAGACATAGCTCACAGTCTAGTGGGAAAGACAGATGATAAAATAGTCCATTGGGATAAACATGTGTGACCAGCACTATGATAGGGGAAACCCAAGGAGCCAGGGGAGTTTAGAAAAAGGCAGCTAACCCTGCCTTGGGTAGAGATCCAGGAATGATCCATACAGTTTACTTGTTACATTTGTTGGCCAAAAGTAATATCAATTTACTGAATGAGATCTCCCTGTGCCAAGCACTGTAGTAGACAGAGATGGGTATTGCCCTCTTTCCTTTAAGTAGGTGGCAATTATGCTTTTTCGGTTTATTTAGAATTATCAACTTCATCAGCTTCAGGTAACAAGTTGCAATAATTAAGTCTGAAGAACTCATTGGTTGGATTTTTGTCTGATTAAAACATCTGTTGATTGTTCTTTTTGTCTCACAAAATGTGTTGGCTCATGAGCAAGAAAGTGTACTCGAATTTCTGGAACCTCCTGGCATGGTTATATGTATGGTATTAGCTAATGGAGTCTTGAAAGACCTACCTTCAATTTTTGAGGATGAAATCAAACTTGACGTCAGTGATATGAGCAGACATGTTAACACTGAGGTTTGTTCCACCTACCATGGTGCAGAACACTTGGGTAGTATGTATTAAATTTGCTTTGATGGGATGTTGACACAAACTCCTACCTAAGCTTTTTGAGAAATGTTTAAATGGTGTGCTTATTATTGATTCCAGAATGTTCCTCGTGGCACCTCTTAAGTATACAGTTTCCTACACTCTTACAGTGGTTTGGAAGGCATTGCTAGTTCTTTCTGATACATCCTGTTTACTTGTTTCCATGTACTTCTTTTGCCATTTCTGCTCATATGTCTACTGAAAGTTCCATCCTGGAGCTTCCAACCTTGCATTTCCTAAGACTTTGAGTCTATAATAGGATCCTGGCCTTATATACCTTAAATATAAGAAAATAGTCATGATGTTGATTTTCCAATGAAAGGCAACAGTGCTACCTGCTAGGTCCTTTGTGGGTCATTTGGAAAAAACAACACTAACTAGCTCAAACTGTGACTGTGATTCTGAATTTCCACTCTGGGTGGAGTTCGGCCATACTACTTGGTAGGTTATCTAGATATTGTTGTCAGAGGAAATTCTTTCAGCCTTCTGGGAATTTTGCCCTTTGCTAATGAATTTAACAGGTTCTGGAGTAACTCTGCAAAGCTTACTCCCTTTGGAAGGCTTTAATGGACACCTTGACCAGAATGACTGTGCTGAACCAGAGTTTTCAGCTCCAGGCCATGAAAGTTATCCCAATTTGCACTTCTTCCAGTTATCTTAAATTCTCTGAGCAAGTCAAAGAATGTCTTTTGTAACAGGAGGACTTCAGTAATTCAGGCCTCATGTAACTTTGGAGTCAGGAGGACTAGAGTTGAAACTTCACTAAATCCTAGCTGTGACCCTAGACATGTGACTTAACCCCTCTGAACCTCTATTTATCATTGGTAAAATGACAATAATAATAGTACCTCCTATATAGTGTTACTGTGAAGGTTAATGAGATAATACATGCAAAGTGATCTAGGGTGACTAGCTTTCCTGGTTTGCCTGGGAATTAGGGGTTTCATGGGACACTGGACTTTCAGTGCTAAAACCAGGGCAGTCCTGGGCAAACCTGGATGGTTAGTCACCACATAAGAGTATGAGGTCAATGTTTCCTTTCCTTGTTATCACTAAATAGCCACCATCTCCAGGTTAGGGGACTCTCTATTGACAAATATCTCATCTACAACCCCTGTCTGATCCAGGCAATCTATTGTACATACATGAAAGTCAGGAATTGAGAGCGTCAAACTGTTAAGTGCTATAAGTGTTTAAATTATTATTACTCTTATTATGTATGTCACATTCTAATAATGGCAAGTTCAATAGAATACAGAGCCATTAAAAAAGTTTCAATATTTATTGAGTCCCTACTCTATGAAAGATACTATATGCTAAGCATTAGGGAAAGAATAATGTGCTGGGGAAAACTGAATAATAAAATTATAACTTCTCTTTTGATAAACTTATTTTTAATAACTTTTTATTGATTTCAAAGATGAAGGGAGGGGCGAGAGATAGAAACATCAATGATAAGAATCATTGATTGGCTGCCTCCTGCACGCCCCTACTGGGGATCGAGCCTGCAACCCAGGCAGGTGCCCTGACCAGGAATAGAACCCTGACCTCCTGGTTCATAGTTCGATGCTAAACCATTGAGGCATGCCAGCTGGGCTTGAAGGTAAATAACTTTGAAAGAAAATGTACTGGGTAATTAAAAAAAAAAAACTAATCTAGGAAACATGTAACACATGGAAAAACTGTTCTTGAGACAGGAGGATTACTGCATTATTACCCAAATCAATGATTCACACACACAAGATCTGTTGTCAATTAATATATAGCAGATGGGAAAAAAATTACTAAGAGTCATTGATGTTGATAAGTATTATGTTGGAGAGAAAAGAGCTCTGAGGTCACATGTCTTCAGCACTGGCTCTACTCCTGGCTATGTGACCTTAGCAGACCATCTATCAACTCTGACTCTCAGTATACACATGGACTATGTGAAGATAATAATACCGATCCCAGGGTTATTGGAAACTTTGCATGAGACCACGGATGTGAAAGAATTTAGAATTAAGAATAGTGTAATCCAGCCCAGCTGGTGTTTCTCAGTGGTTGAGCTTTGACCTATGAACCAAGAGATCATGGTTTGATTCCCTGTCAGGGCACATACCCCAGTACGGGCCAAGCAGGAGGCAGCCAATCAATGATCCTCTCTTATCATTGATATTTGTGTGGGGGGGGGGGGGTGGGGGGGGTGTTAAGATTTTTACATATTGAGCTTTTTAATAAAGCAGGGCACATCTTTATGCTTTTTAAATTTATCTTTATTGTTGAAAAGATTACAGATGCCTCCGCTTTTCCCACTGACCCCCTGCACCCATCCCTCCTAGGCCTTTAACAGTATTGTCTGTGTCCACGGCCTATGCATATATGCATATAAGTTCCCCCATTAATCTCCCACCATAACCCCAACCCCCCTCTGAGATTCGTCAGTCTGTTCCATGTTTCTATGTCTCTGGATCTATTTTGTTCATCAGTTTCTATTTTTCTCTCCCTCTCTGAAATAAATAAAAAACATATATTTTTTAAAAAAAATAAATCACATTGGTGAGGATGTGGAGAAAAAGAAACCCTTTTGCATTGCTGGTGAGAATGCAGACTGGTGCAGCCACTGTGGAGAATAGAATGGAGTTTCCTCAAAAAACTAAAAATGGAATTCCCATTTGACCCTGTGATCCCACTTCTAGGAATATATGCCAAGAAGCTAGAAACACCAATCAGAAAGGATATATGCACCCCTATGTTCATAGCAGCACAATTCACTATAGCTAAGATTTGGAAACAGCCTAAGTGCCCATCAGCAGATGAGTGGATTAAAAAACAATGGTACATCTACACAATGGAATACTATGCTGCTATAAAAAAGAAGGAATTCTTACCATTTGCAGCACCATGGATGAGCATTATGCTAAGTGAAATAAGCCAGTCAGAGAAAGATAGATACCATATGATCTTATTTATGGAATATAATGAACAACATAAACTGATGAACAAAAACATATCCAGAAACAGAGAAGCATGATCAGACCATCAAACCTTAGAGGGAAGGTAAGGGAGGGTGGGGATAAGGGGGAGAGATCAACCAAAGGACTTGTATGCATGCATATAAGCCCAACCAATGGGCACAGACAACAGGGGGGTGAGAGCATGAGTGGGGAGGTGGGGATTAATGGGGGGATGAGAACACATATGTAATACCTTAATCAATAAAGAAATTAAAGATTGGGGGGGGGGAAGAATAGCACAATCCATAAAAGTGAAGTTTTATTACTCATCCTTTAAGCAGTACACAGGAACAAGTGGAGTGTGGTTGGGGAACATTGACAGCAGGAGCTTCCAGTGTTGTCACATGGTAAGTACCAAGCTCATGGTGGACGCAAGGTTGTCTAATACGTTAGAGAAATTAATGAGTTTGGAGAAATTTGTCATCTTATTAGGAACAATCTGCAGGGAGGTCTTGCCGCTGTTTTAGACCAACCCTTTCCTTTCACCTCTAGTTCATCTAAGATACGGTGTGTTATCTCCATGGGCAGCCCCAAAGGTTCTGTGCTAAAAAAAAAAGTTAATTTTCTCAGATGCCACTAACAGTGAACGAGCTAAAGGAAATTTTATGGAAGTTAGGTTGGCCCCTGTAGAAAGCTTCAAGGTGCTTCCAAGGTCCAAATAAATAAGCCAGAGTCCTCACCCTCAGACTTAGGGCAGACAGGAACTCATGGAATTGTGGCTAAGAAATGCTTGGGATACAAAACTTACTCCAGGCCCAACTTCGAATGAGGCAGTTTGCTAACTAACTTCCAATAAGTTAGTCCTCGGATTTCTCGGTAATTCCAGTTGGAATCACTTTTTTAGAACTGAGGAATCCAAATTTCCAAGTGAAGCTATTTCATTCATCAGGGTCATCCTGAGACCTTCTTGGTTCTCTTCCAGACTTTGAGGATGAGGGGAATGGCCAACCTCAATCCACTACCTTGCCTACCCCATTTTTTTGTTTTGATTTTGGTAAAGGCAGGAGTGAAGTTGATCAGTCTGGTTAAACTTGGGAAGCTTAATGCTGATCCTGGTATCTCTATTCAATTGGAAAAGTAGGACAACCTCATAGAATACCCCACAGTCAGTCTTGGTTTGAAAGACCCTGCTGGTAGAGAGTAAAAGGACTATTATTTCTAAGTAGGAGAGCAATGGTGCAGTGTCAGATGGGATGAGCTAGCAGGTGGACCTCCATGCTCCCCATCTAATGATTTTATGTACTGGGGATCACTTAACAAATATTAAAACCCCTGCCATAGGGTATAGGTGCCAAGGAAGAGAAGTGTGCAATTTTAGGGAGAATGAAAACTTGTTCCAGACTCAGTGCTCTTTAGTGACAAAAAGAGAAAAAGACCGTGCTGTATTTAGACCCTCTGGTTTCACAGTAGAAAATCATGAGCAGGTTTGGAAAAATGAATTCTTTTCTTTAAACTGAAGTTCAGTAAAAGAACAAATCCTTTCTTCTCTCTGGAGACTGGCTTTCTGAAAAACAAGATAAGCATGATGAGGAAGAAGCTGGTTCTGGGAGTTAAATGAATACAGGTTTGAACCTTGACCTCCCCACTGCCTAGCTGTGTGACCTTGGGCAAGTTAACCTAGGCTATCTGAATTCCAATTCCCCCATTTGTTAAATGTGATTGCTAGTGATACCTGCCTCTTAAGATCCTGGAAGGATTAAGTGAGTTAAACACATGTAAGGCCCGTAGAACAGTGCCTGGCATATATGTGCTCAGTAAATGTTAAGCTATTATTTTGTTAAAGAGGCAGTGACTTTATTTGTAGTAAAATAGAATTTGTGGTCACACTGCAGCTTAAGGTTATTGGATAAGACCAAGACTTTTGAAGTCAGAAAAAAATTGACTCTGGCACTTATTCACCTTAACTTTGGGCAAGTTACTTAACCTATGTAAATCTCAATTTTTCTGTTAACTGTATAGTAATAGCACTTCTATTACAGGTAGATATTGGTTATTATTTTGCATCACTTCTGTGATTCTTGCCATTCTCCTCATTCCTGATGACCTTTTACTTCATTCTACCTCAATCAGACATTCCTATAGTCACATATTAGACTTTGTCATCATCTATACAGGTGGTACCCTTGCCATTTCAATTTCAAACCTCTGCTCTCCAACCACCACTTCCCATTTCATTGGCTTAGTCTTATTACTGCATTTTTACATACTCTAATCCTCCATTCCATAAATCTCCACTACCCATCACCCTCCATCTGTCTGTTTCCATCTTTGTGCAGCTTAGACACCAGGGACCCTTGTGATAATCACTCACTTGCAATACCCTAAATTCTTTTTCCTCTTTCTTGATTCATCATACTCACTTGCCAAAACCTCAACCCTGACTGAGCCTCACCATTTGCCTTCTCTGTACATTACACTAATGTAATAACACTGGTGAAAATCACACAACCCAGCTAACTATCTATATACTCAATATAATATATAAATCTTAAGCGACCAAATGACTGAACATCCAAAAGACTTATCGACTGGTCGCTATTATGTGCACTGACCATCAGGGGGCAAACGCTCAATGCAGGAGCTGCCCCCTAGTGGTCAATGCGCTCCAACAGTAGGAGCGCTCCAACAGAAGGAGCACTGTTCAGCTGACCAACAGGCACCAGAGGCAGGGCTCAGGCTGGCCACCACAGCCTGGAGACTACATTGGAGCAGCAGTGAGCCTACTGAGCGGTGATGGTGACAGGTGCAGTGGGGCCAGGATGAGCAGGAGTGGCAGTCAGGAGGAGTAGGCAGTGTTGGACTGCCAGTTTCCACCCAATCCCTGCAGACCATATGGAGGGACCCCACCAGTGCACGAATCCGTGCCCTGGGCCTCTAGTTTCCACATAAAGCTCACGATCTCAGACTTGAGATTAGCACTCAGAAATCCTGCTCATATTTGTCTGTTGAAGGCTTGCTTTCCCAGTGCCTAATATCACACATTCTCAATCTCAGCTAATGATCTTGTCCCATATTTGAATGAGAAAATATAAATCATTTGATTAGTACCTTGTAACTCCCCACAAAAAAAGCCTCTAAATATATTTGTACCTGTATCCAGGCAATCTTACCAGTTGCTAATTTTCACTATTGTACATATTTGATTTAAGTTGGAATTCTTTTTTATTATTGTAATTTATTATTTTGATCATATTTTGACACTGTGAAAGCAGAGATACCTCTGGTGCTTGCTGTGATCTTAAAGCAAGTCTTTTCACCTGTTTGAAACTCAGTATTTTCATCTATAAAACAGGAATATTTATTCATTTGTTCAATCCCTATTTACTGAAAATCTAATGTGTAAAGTGCCTAAGGTACACTCATATGGCTATCAGAAGGTTATTGTGAGGATTGAGCAGGATAGTATGTGGGGTATCTGGCTCATAGTCACTACCCATAGATGTTGCTATTATTAAACATTTCAAGTTTTCAATAATTCTAAGGCTTATAATTTAAAAATGCACAAATTATTAACAAGTATTTAGGAGACTTTATAATCCTGACTTCATTAATTAGAAGCTCAGCAGAGCTTACTCACTTGGGCAGAGACTGATACAAAATCAGACTCAGCCATGCTAAGGCTCTTGAACCAGGCTTAAATCCATCTCCTCACTTGGGCATATACAATTAATCACTCAGGGTGATTTGTGGCTGGTTTATTGTTACTCTCAAACAAGGGCTTCAAACAAAATAATCTATACTATATTGGCAGATATATTTGTACCATTTCAATTATCAATGTTTTTGTTGTTTCCAGCATTCACTCATTCCTAAAATATGCATTAACCTCTGTGCCAGGCACTATTGCAGGTGCTGGCTATGTGGATGTGGCAGCATGCCACTCAAGTCTCTGCCCTCAAGGAACTGACATTCTAATAAGGTCTATATGTTGTCCCCACACTCACCTACTTCACATTAGAATGTAAAGAGCCTGAGATCAGGTGCCATGGTGGTAGCTGTTCCTTTTATTCCTCTCAAACATAGCATGGAGCACAGCTGTTGGCACACAAGATGCCGTGTGTGTGTGTGTGTGTGTGTGTGTGTGTGTGTTTGGTGGCTTACTGTGGCTAATTTACATTAGGATATAAGTTCAAAATGTTTACATATACACTGAATGGCCAAATTATTATGTTCTCTGAATACATAATAATCTGGTCACTCAGTGTATATGCTATATAATAAAAGGCTAATCTGCAAATTGTCCCCTTGACCAGGAGTTTGATCAGCAGGCAGACTGGCCAACTACCCATGTCCGCTCCCCCAGGCCAGGCTGACCAGACCTCACACATGCACAAATGTATGCTACATATAATGAGTGGCCAGATTAGTATGCATTCAGAGATCATAATAATCTGGCAACTCAGTGTATTATCCTATCTAATAAAAGAGAAAAATGCAAAGACCGTACCTCTGCTACGACCCACAAGCCAATCAGGAGCAAATATGCAAATTAACCCAAGATGGTGGTTAAGTTACATATCCAGATGCAGAGTGAAGACTGAGGGCAGGTAGAAGGAAGCCAAGTGCTGCAGAAGGGAGAAAGGTTGCAGAGAAGCAAACAAGCAGGGCAGCAGAAACTGGAGGGAATTAGGCAAGGCAGTGGAGACTAGGGAAGCAGGCGGGCCTGCAGAGAAGGGAGGGAAGCAGGGGGGTGGAATGCTGCAGGAAGCCCTATTGCAGGAATCTTCCTGCAATGGGCCTCTAGTCATTTAACATTCACAGAAACACTGAGGTGGGCACTATTTTAATCCTCATTTTACAAAGGAGGCAACTGAGGTATGGAGAGATTAAGAAATGGAACCAAGTTCTTGAAATAGTAAGTAATGAAGCTACATTTGAGCCCAGGCCATGAAGATCCTCATGTCGAGGCATGGCCCAAGGGAGGAGGCAAAGCCTCCCAGTCTCCAGGTCTGCTCTCAGTCCAGCTGCCGCCATCTATTGCACAGCCCACCCAACCTGCGCCTGCCACAGCTGCTACGGGAGTGCAGGTGGAGACCTCTCCACTGGAGAGGGACGAACCTTACTAAAGTGTGGCCAGATCTGCCTCGTGCACTACATGGGGATGCTTGAAGATGGAAAGAAATTTGATTCATCCTGGGACAGAAACAAGCCCTTTAAGTTTATGCTAAGCAAACAGGAGGTGATCTGAGGCTGGGAAGGGATTGCCCACATGAGTGTGGATCAGAGAGCCAAACTATGCCTCCCAGACTATGCCTATGGTGCCCCTGGGCACCCAGGCCTCATCCCACCCAATGACACTCTCTCCTAGACGTGGAACTTCTAAAACTGGAATGACAGGAATGGCTACTGCCTGAGATCCCTGTGTTTGGCTGTGCCATGGAGGGATCTGGCGCCCCCAACGCGCACACGGGAATCTGTGCGGAGCTTTTCCTGATGTTCCACTATACTTTGTATAAACATCTGCTCTGACTGAATATGTTCTGTCATCCAGCTTTGCTCTTCCCCTTTCTCCTAGTATGTGTATTGACCTAAACTACTTGCCATAAACCTCAAGTTACTCTTTATTTTGGGGTGAAGATTCAATTTGTCTTTTGTATCTAGGTTTCCAATTACCTATTAATCAAGTATTGAGAGCACAAGTAATGGGTTGACTTTAGACTAGATTGGTGTGTGGCGGGGTGCAAGAATCTTTTTTTTTTTAAATGAAGTTTATTTCTATTATATATTAAACATTCTTGCTGTTGCCCTGCAAAGCCATAGCAGACTTGAAGCATTGTTGAGGGCCAAATTATCTCCAAGTTGAGATATGTCTTTGGATTGAATTAAGAGCCCTACCCAAAACTAAAGTGGGGAGGGGAGAGCCCATGCCTCCTCTGCCCCATCCCACTTTCCCTAAACCCTCTGCCTTTTAAAAGCAAATTGTTTTCACTGTGATGTTGGGCATTACAAGTATCCAACCCCAGGCCAGCAGAGACCTCTGAAGCCTTCTTCATGGCCTGGCTTCCCCTCATATCCCCCATTCCTGTGGGGGGTTTTCCAATAGATATTCACAACTTTTTCAATGTCATAGCTATCCAGGTTCCACTCTCTAAATTTTAAGAACTTTTTTTAAAAATATATTGTATTGATTTTGTACAGATAGGAAGGGAGAGAGATAGAGAGTTAGAAACATCGATGAGAGAGAGTCATCGATCAGCTGCCTCTTGCACACCCCCCACTGGGGATAAGCCCGCAACCAAGGCACATGCCCTTGACCGGAATCGAACCCGGGACCCTTCAGTCCCCAAGCCAACGCTCTATCCATTGAGCCAAACCGGTTTCGGCTAAATTTTAAGAACTTTAATAGAAAGTTTAAATTGAAGGTGCTGTTTATAGACACTTAAAACCCAATAAAAGTCCAGCCATTATGACAAATCCTTGTGTTGTCTTAAGAAAATGATGTTGGTCGTCACAGCTTCAGCATTTCCTGTGTTTTGATGCTCACCTCTTCCTGCTGAGCTCAAAGTTTCCTGTTTCCCCCCCCCTCTTCTTACCCCTTTGCTGTCCTGTGTAGTGATTTGGTGAAAGAAATTATTGCTGCCTACCTCCCACCCCCCTCCCCTGCACTATATACGAGTTTCAAGTTTTATTATTGCAATAAAAGTTCTTTACACTGGCTTTTCTAAAAAGAAAGGAAGGAAGGAAGGAAGGAAGGAAGGAAGGAAGGAAGGAAGGAAGGAAGGAAGGAAGGAAGGAAGGAAGGAAGGAAGGAAGAAGGAAAGGAAGAAGGAAAGAAAAGGAAAGAAAAAAAGATGCTGACTGTAGAGTTCTGGGGTGGCCCTGTGTTCTTGGCTGAACACTGGACATCTGTGACAGAGTATTTTTCTGGGTCACCTCAGTAACCTCAGTTAAATGCAGCTCAGATTTATACAAAAACTCAATAGAGTTGCATCTATGTCCAAATAAGAAAATGGTCAAGAATTTTATAAGATTCCAAGTGCATGGAATCTTTGAGATTCTGATGAAACAAGTTCTAACTATGAAAATACTAAATAATACAAACGAGAGTCTTTACAGTTGTTAAAAATCTTGGCTTTTACACTACAAGCTTCTCAAGTTTGTTCTCAGGACACAGCAGAACCATATACTTACTTCCACTTGCAAGGCTGGCACTTGCAAGGCTGGCACTGGCAGATGCACGATCTGGACGCAAATATTTCCTACCTAGTAAAGAAAAAAAAATGTTTGAAAATGAAATTCGTAGGGCTGAGTTAGTAAGTGCTCAGTTGTACCCCAGCACCTCCAAATCATCTGCTGTTCGGTTTATGGACACCTAGCATATTTCTCTTAGATGCTACAAAAACAGAAAAGCATCTGTTTTTAAGGTCTCTTGGGCCTTGTCCCCATCTTCTAGGCAATGTTTCTGTGTAAGGGTCACGAACTTCCTCAACAGATATGGAAGCATCAGTCACTAATTAATATGACTAATGTCAACATTATCAGAAAAGTGCTAAGAGTTTGCAGTAGTAAAGACTATAGTGACAAATATTTGAGAATGTGCCTGCCTTATAGTTTTGCCTATAGTAGAAACTCACAAAGTATTTGGTGAATTGGATTTAAACTATATAGAGTTATGATTGGGAGGCAATAATTTAAGCCATATGTGTTCTAACCAACTGTTGAAACAGGGCTCTTCTGTGTATATACACAGACATATACACAAACACAATTGGCCTAATCTTCCCTCTGAATTTAGTAGAAACAGATTTTTGACAGAGTATATGGTGGGAATTTTCATAGATTTCCCAATCATGACATTTTTATAATTTACTTTTTAAAAATATTTATATATTTTTATTAAGTTATTATTTTTGTACATATACCAATGCCCCCCCCTCCCATATATACCCTCCCTCCCCAGAGTTAAAATATTTATATTTTTAATCAAACTCTGGAAATGATGGACTGGTATCTTAATGGGAAATTTTTTCAACATTAGGATAGTACACAAGGTCTGACTTAGGAAGACTATGCTGAACAGACCCTTTGTGTATTATATATTTAGTTCAGAGTAAAGGCAGCTTTTAGTAATTTATTTTAGGCATGGGACACTAGAACCACAGATATGTATGGATTTGGGAACTATAAAAGAAAATTCACCCAGAGTGCAGACTTGGCCCGGTGAAACTATTATAAACTTCTCTACATCACATATATATATATATATAAAAGATTTAAAAATGTAGAAAAGATTAAAAAATAACATCATAATATCCAGAGACCACCATTGTCCACCTTTAGGTATATTTCTTACTAGGGTTTGTTTGTATTATATATTAGAGGCCTGGTGCATCGATTCATGCATGGATGGGGGCTGGCCTGCCTGCTGGTCGAACTCCTGGTCAAGGGGACAAAAACAGATGCAGAACATATACAAAGGTCTTCATCACAATATTGATGGCCAGATTATTATGCAGTGAGAGATCATAATAATCTGGCCACTCATCGTATAGCTCCAGTATTTCATGTGAAAGACAAATCTTATAGCAGAGTGGGTTGCTCTTTTGGTGAAAATGTACTCCAATTCTTTTCCACATTTTTACAAAGAAAGGAATCTTTTTTTATGGGTCTTTTTCATCTAGTAGGCACTAATTAAATATTTGTTGAATGAGTGGGTAAGTGAAGAAGTGTTTTAGCTCAGTGGGATGGGTGATGATCAGGGAATAGGACTCCAAGGAAAATCAAGCAGGAGGAGCCAAGTGCACAGGTACTGTCATGGTTTCCAGGCAGCAATAGGATGCTTCTATAGTTGCTTTGAATTTTAATGTGTGGAGCAGATGGCTGGTATATATTGCCCTTGTTTTTGCCTGAGCCTTACATCATTGCAAGTTGCCAATCTGTTTGAAGAATAGAGTTTTAGCTTAGAGTTATTAGCACTGAGTCCTGTTTTTTGTTTGTTTGTTTGTTGTGTGTGTGTGTGTGAGTGTGTGTGTGTGTGTGTGTGTGTGTGTGTGTGTGTGTGTGTGTAAAATATATTTTATTGGTTTTTTACAGAGAGGGAGAGAGGGATAGAGAGTTAGAAACATCGATCAGCTAGCTCCTGCACACCGCCTATTGGGGATATGCCCGCAACTAAGGTACATGCCCTTGACTGGTATCAAACCTGGGACCCTTCAGTCCGTAGGCCAACGCTCTATCCACTGAGTCAAACTGGTCAGGGCAGGAGTCCTGTTTTACAAATGTAGGTGGCTCACAGTGAGGTGCATACAGACCCCTACAATTTTAGGCAGCAACTCATCATTTTTCTAGGATAAGTCCAAGTCAACAGACTGGATGAATATTTCAGGTCAAGTCAATCTGACTGTCTCTCTATATAAACCTTTATTCATTAAACTGTGAATGTCATTGAAGCCTAGTGAAGATATATGGAGCATTTAAGCAGAACATTCTGTCCCTCAGAACCTTCATGTCCAGAGTGACAGCAATTAATCTTGACAACCCACCTCATGCCAACTCACTCTCAACCCCAACTACCAGAGGCAAGCATTTACTTACAGTGAACTGAGCTGGAAGGCAGGTTGAAGGGCAATCCCGTGCTTCTGGCTGCCTGGGCAGAGTTGCAATTCTCCCACATGGCAGCTTGCTGAGGATAGGCTACACATCTCTCTTGCTGGAGGAAATTTAGGAGGGACTCATATTTCCCATTAGGCTGAACCTCTGGAACCAGGTGCCCAGCAGAGAAGGCATGAGGGTATTCTGGCTCTGGAGAGATTGGGCTCATTAGGGAGGAGAAATGCCACAGCTCACTAGACTGAACAGAGGGACCCCCAGACAGGGGCAGTGGGTACTGATCCATAGGCATGGGACCAAACCCATTCGTGATGCAGTTGACGGTGCCATTTGCAAAAGATACTTCTGGCTGTGGCTTTGTCCACTGAGAAGAGAAACGCCAATGATTTGGAGGCATGTCACTATCTGGGAAGGAAAGATTTAGAAGATATGTTAGGTGTGTATTTATTGTTTGCAAAATGGAAGTAACTTAATTTTTCTGGTTAATACATAATATATTTTTTAATGTGAAGAAATGTAGAAAAGATTAAAAAAAATAACTCATATTATTCAAAGACCACCATTGTCCACCTTTAGGTGTATTTCTTACTCGGGTTTGTTTGTATTCATGTATGCATTGTATTATGTTTAATTTTATTTATTGATTTTAGAGAGAGGAGAAAAATTTGAGAGAGAGAGAGAGAGAGAGAGAAAGAAAGAGAGAGAGAGAGAGAGAGAGAGAGAGAGAGAGAGAGAGAGAGAGAGGGGAGGAGGAGAGAAACATCAATTTGTTGACCCACCCATTCATGCATTCATTGGTTGATTCTTATATGGGCCCTGACTAGGGATCGAACTACAACCTTGGCATATTGGGATGGCATTCTAACTAACTGAGCTACCCAGCCAGGGCTTCATTTTTTCACATCACATATTGTTTTTTAGGGCTGCTTTCACATCATTAAAATACCACAAATATCCCCCATAGAGATGAATGGTGCCAACATCAGCTTTTTAAATGGCTGCACAGTATTTTATTATTAGGTAGTAACATGACTAGCAAACATTATATTTGTGAGCAAGTTAGTTATTTGCAATTTTGTTATATTAACAACATTGTGATGAACACCTTTGTTATATACATTTCTGCATCCTTGTCCAGCTAGCCCCTCAGGGAAACTTCTAGAAGGATTGTTTGATTAAAGGTGATTTGTGTGTGGTTGTTGCTGTTGTTTGGCTTTATTTTATAGCTGATCTTTTAAGTACACAGACTATGAAGTCTTCACAGAACTTTATAAGGGGTGTAACACTTGCCTATGTCCATAACTTACACAAATCTAGTGGTTGAAACCCCATTTTCAAGAGGAATGTGGGGCATAGGAATTTTGGGAGTTTGGACCAAGTTAGCAAAGCAGATTAGCCAAGTAGGAATCTAAACTGGAGTGATAAATGATGGAGTAGGGAAATGGTTGTTTGGACCTCTTCCTACATAAGCAAAGCATTCAAGGTCAAGCAGTAACTTAGTTTCTTTTTGCTGACTAACTAATGAGGATAGAGGCACCTTTGGTCTCAGAAACACTAATTCTAATTGTACCTATAAATAGCAGCAGAATATGGAGGGGGGGGCGCAGGGAGGAGGTAAGGGCAGAAGGTTGAGTGGGGACCAGGTGGAGGGGAGCTATGAGGGTGGGGGCAAGGAGAAACAATTGTAATAATCTGAACAATAAAGATTTATTTTTTTTTTAAAAAAAAAAGAAGTCTAGTATAATTCATGACATGGATATTTTCTCTATTCTCAATACCCACTTAAGCAAAAGGGGAAGAGGGAGAAAGTATTGGCAGATAATTAAAGCTTGGAACCTCTCCACTATCCAAGATAATGAAGGGGACATGGGTGTAGAGACAGAAGAAGATTGGAAAGGTGGAGAGGCTGTCTGGTCTCTTTTCCCTCCACATGTGCCTCTCTCAGCTCTTCTGGATGTTCAGTTTGCCTGGATTCTGTACAAGAAAAAAACACCTGTGAGGTCTACCCAGTGATATAAAATGCTCCCACCCACCACCAAAGCTTTTCGATGTCATAGAGATGATAAGAGCAAAAAAGCCCTAACCTATGTGGCACAGACATTCTGCCCAACATTTCACATCAGTTACAATGGTTGGCCTCTTACACTGAAATCAAGGGCAGGGAAACATATAATAATATTTATTCCTGGAGATGGATGCTACTTTCGAAAACTGATATCTGCAGGCCAATAGTAATGCAAGGCACTGTATAGCACAAATAGAGTGATTAAGCTAACTAAGTATAATCATTGTCCATTCTTTGTATTCAATGAGGGTACCTCATGTCTTAAGAACAAATTAAAAACAATGTATACCCTCTGACAACTGGATAGTCTCCATATGAACTGGCCTTCCTGATCTCATACATATGACCTAAGCACTGAATGAACTCTCTCAGAAAGGATTTCCCTGTTTTTTATCCTGCTGTGACTATGTTCTGTTTATTTTCTTCATAGCATTAATCCTAACCTGTAATTTCTTCATTTCTTCATTTACTCACTATTGGCCTTCTCCGTTAACCAGTAAACTTTGAGGATTGAGATAATTTTTCTTTTGTTCACCACCATATTCTCTGGACCTTGCACAGTGCCTGGCACTTAGTAGGCCCTGACTAATTATTATTCTAATGAACGTACACATATGCTTACACACACATGTACCCATTCTCAAACATATGCACAAACACACATACTTCCCCATTAAATCTTTCTACACTGACGAGTACAGCATGCAAAGAGGTTAAGAGCACAGACTTTGATGTCAGATGTCAGACAGGCTTGGAGTCTAATCCCAGTTCTGCTCCTTCCAAGCTGTGTGACACTGAGCATGTCTCCTCCCACCTCTGAGCCTCTGGGATTGTTGTGAAATTAAATGAGACAATCCATGTAAAGGGCATGGCACAGTTCCTGGTACATAAGGGGCCCTCAATAGTGATAGCTGTTGCTATTGTTGTTAATCATTATTTTGGTTTATAAACCCAATTTGAGCTCATATTCAGAGGTTTCTTTCCTAGTTTGCAACACTCATGTAATCAACCTAGGAAAAAGCAAAATGGTAATGTATAAGGCCCGAGTGTCCTTCTGCCCTCAGTGCCAAAAAGGGAAGAGAGGAAAGGACTAAACTAAAAAGCCCGCAGCAGCAGCAGCACTTCAGGGATGATGTGGAGGATCGAATAAATACTGGCTCTAAAAGAGATTTCAGAAGCCTATGCTCAGTATTTGTCCATTCCCAGGGAAGATTATGTCAGAGATGGGCAGGAACGACAATAAATCTAGAAAAGCTTTTCTTTATTGAGCACTTACTATGGAGCAGACACTTTGCTTAACACTGCATACATGGTCTTATGTAGCAACCCAGATAAGAAAATAGAGACTCAGAGAAGTTAAAGTAATTTGCCTAAGTTCACACAGTTAGCAAGTGATAAATCTGTATGATTCCAAACCTCATGCTCTTACTGGCTATGCTGCTCCACCATTGCAGAGTACTGTGAGATGGGCATTTCCCCACACTACTAGGGTTGGATGGGTGGCAGATGGGCATAACACTTCTGGGGAGCACTTTGTCAGTACATGTTAAAACCCTAAAATTAGTGTGTACTCTTTGACTCAATCATTGCACTGATAGCAATTTATTTTAAGGATATAATCAATGATGCATGTAAAAATTTAGCTATCGTACAATGATTCAAAGTGACATTTATAATACAGTTAAAGATTGGCAATAACCTAAATGTCTAAAACTTTTAATAGCTTTGGTATGTTTGTAAGGAAGATATTCTTGATGTTGTAGTAGAACATATAATGGCATAGAGAGATATATATAAAGTTACGACCCATTTTGTGCAAAATAATGTTATGTTGCAAAACTTAGTATTAGCGCACAATGCACATGTGGTTTTGTGCCTTGATTGCTTCCTGTATTTTCTAGATTCTTCAAAAATCAACACATTATTTTTGTGGTTAGAAAAAGTCATTTTAAAGTAAAAACTTAATAAAACCTCTTGACTTATTGACTCTGGGTCACAATTATGATAAGACCAACACATAAATGCCTGATTCTCTTCCATCCATCCTTTCTTCTTTCCTTCCTTCTCTCTCTCTGTGACTGCCTTTAATACAAATCCTGCTTTGTGATTAAATTGAAATTGAGATACCTCAGAACACACACTCACATCTTGCACCATCAAAGTCCAAACTTTGGCCTGCCTAATCTGCACACATTGAATCTCTCCTCAATGCCTTCTTTGCATTATATTGTTTGTATTAGCTAAGGTAAAAATAATATCAGAGACAGAGGGACAGCTTTTAAGAGATAGTCCTGTTCTTATGCACCGGGAGTAGAGGTGGGTACTGTTCAGTCCCTTGCCATACTTCACAACCACTTCCCTGAGATACCTAGTGTTTGGGTGATTTATCCAGATTTCTTTTCCCAACTGAAAATGGAGATGAAATACAGAACATGTGAAATACAGAAAGTGGCTAAGAGCTCAAAATCTCAAGTCAAACTGATTTGTTTACCAATGACTGCCCCTTTCTAGCTATGGAATCCTGGACAAGTCACTAGACTCTTTGAACCTTAGTTTCTTTACCACGAAATGGACACAGTGAGAGTTAACCAGTAGGTTGGTATGAGGATTCAATGAGATCATCCATGTGACACCCCCTAACAAGAGGTCTCACTCGCGGAAAGTATGTACTCAATAAAGGTTAGCCATTGTAACCAGTATTAGCTATAGTTCTCATGGGCATTATTAACTCTCTTGCCAGGGTGTTGTCAGAGTCTACAAAGGCAGGACAGTGAAGTAGACTAGCTCTGGAGTCTGTCTCAATCACTCACTTGTGAAATGTACTATGTCATTTACCCTCTCTGGGTTGCAGTTTCCTATTCTGTGAGGATATAGAAATCCACTGTAAAGTGGTTTTGTGAAGTACAACACCCATACAGAAAAACATACAAATATAAAGTGTACAGCTGGGGAATTTTCACAAACTGAGTAATAAGCACCCAAATCAAGAAACAGAATATGACCGCCATCCTAGAAGCCCCCCTCATGCCCACATCCAGTCCCTAATCCCCATCCCCCAAAGTAACCCATCTTCTATCTTCTAACAACATTGATTCAGTTTGTCCATCTTTGACCTTTATAAACCACTGAAGTGCATTCAGTAATTGTAGCCTGGTGCCTGGCATCCAATAGAAGTTCAATATACATTGGCAGTTTCCCTGGCTAAAAAAGAAGACACCAAGTTGACAGTGTTCACAAGGGTCATAAAAAACTAGGATGACTCTATCTCATAGAGGTATTCATACTAAAAAAGAAACCCAAGATTTATTTCTCACCCTCACTATATCATGGAGCAAGGGAA